AAGGGTGTCTGGTAAAGTAGAAATATAGCAAAATACTTTTTTTTTATCCTAAACCCAAACGAGTTATTAATATTATAATTTTATTCATTAAATAAAAAAATTATTTTTTACGATATCGTCTTTAACAGAAAACCAGCTAACATTTTAATTTAACCTCAAATTTAACTTGATTTAATTTCTTAATTTAAAATAAATACTTATTCATTTTATAAAAATATAAGGCATATTTATCATTCAATATGAGTTAACACTTAACAAAAAATATTAAATAACACAATTCTTACACATTTATTTAGTATAACACACCAATTAAAGAAAAAAAAAGTAAGAAATTAAATATTCTCTTTTTAGTGTATGTATTTAATATAAATATACATTTTGTACTTAAATTATTTTTATTACATCTCATATAGTAAGTTACAATAACATATATCATCTTAAGGATTGAACTGATTTCTTAGTGCATACTTATGGTTGTGTTACCAATAAATTTAGAATTAAAAAACATATGACCTATACAACGATACAATATAATATTTCATAAGTCTCTAGATATTCAATTAATAAGAATTAAGGCAAGTAAATACAAGACATAATATATTGCTTCATATATTTCTGAGACTTGTCTTGGTTCTTAATAAGATACATAATATAAAAATTAAGTAAATATGTATTTAATTATAATTTATTTTACTCATATTTAATTATAATTTTTAAGTATGTAATTAAGTAAAATAGTTTATTTTATTTATTTTTAAAGGGAAAGTTAGTGTCATTGATTAACTGACAAGCTAATATTTCTATAACTAAAACAATAGACTACCAATTGACCTTTTACTATTCTACAAAACCACCTTTGTTTTTTTTAACTATTACATTAAAATTACTTAATAAGTTTTAACTGTGTACATCAAATGAAATAAGAAGTATAGGGAAAATGTGAAATCAAAATCAATTTACAATTATAAGAAAGCATATTTCAACTTGAACTAGTGTTACAGTAAAGTTACCTATATTTTTATATTTTAATAATTAAAAATTATTAATTTATACAGTTACATAAATATTTCAGGTTAATAGTATTTACTTTGAGTTGATAGACTGTATTATCAATATTAGTAAGAAGTTAATTTGAAAAATGATAAACATTATATTTCAATTTTGAACAAATATTATATTTTAAAAAACTAATTGATTATAAAAATTTAACAAATTTTTGCAATTTTTACTTTAACAAAATCATATTTATCATAAAACTCTAGTTATTGAAAATACATTTAACTTCAAAGTAACCATGGCTTTATAGTATTCAATATTATTAAATTAAATACATTTATAAATTTAATATTATATGAAAAACAAACAATATAGAAAAACATAACAGTACAATTATTAATCAACATTCTATATTTTGTACTTATGAGTGATTAAATGTATGGATACCAAATGGATACTTAAATTCTTTTAAATACTATAACAACTGATAATGGTGAAAGAAAGTAGATAAATAGATATTTAGGAGTTTAAACGTGTTTTTATGTCTATTACAATTAATGTTCTTAAAGTAGATAGTAGGTTAAAATAATTATTGGTTTAAGAAACATCATAATAACTGAGTCATTTTGAAATGAAAGACACACTTAACTCAATTTAACAATACAAAACAGATTGTTGTTAACTGTATGTACACATTTACAATTTACATTTTACTACAATAATATAGATAAAAAAAAAAATGAATTTATAAATGAACTAAAAAAATAAATAATTGTCAATTACTTTAAAAAAATAAAGTTATTAAATATACCAATAGAAACCTCAATAGGTACAAAGTAAAATTTAAAATAATATTATTATTTTAATAATTTTTTTCTTCAGTTATATCATTATAGAATCATTGCACCTATTAACCTTAAAATAATGCAAAGAGACAAAAATACAAGGTCATTTCCCTATGAAAAAAAGTTTTACTTAACAGTTTTAATTGGTCTTTAGTTCAAATATAAGTATTGGTTTTATCAAGGATGCTATTTTATTAATATTTATTTATTTTTTTTTTTTTTTTTGTTCGTTGTCCTTGTATAAAATAATCAATCTATGCACCTATTTCAAATTTTAAAAAAAAATGATTGTCTATTTTAATATAATTGCAAACACAATAATCTACCTCTTACTATTTTATGGTTTGGAAAATTTTAAAATCAGAAAATAAATTACTCAAATTATCTGAATACAATACATAAAAAGATGTACAATTATATTATAAACATTGAATAAATGATTACAATAATATATTTCCAAACTTGTTTCTTATACTTTCTATAACCTTTCAATTATATTTGAAACATGAATACAAGTATAAATATAATAATTTTATTTTTAAATGTAACAATTTTGTTTAGTAATTTTTTCTTTGGCAGACAAAAATAGTAGCAAAACCATGTCTAATTTTCAATATACTCCATAATTCTTTCATTATTATTATTAATGGTATAATTATTTTAACCCTTAAGTATCTATAAATTTTTGTAAAATATTATTTATATTTAAACACAACAAAACATACTTAAATGAGTACTTAAACCATTGGAGAACTAACCCAATTTATTTATAAGGGAGTATTCAAGTATTACATCAGCAAACTGAGGAAGGGCTAAATATCAAATCTCATGCCATCATCATATCTATCAAAATTTGAATTATTTCACCAACAAAGCAAAAGTTTATGAATTACCATCAGCATTGAAGATATGCCATCTATAGGGCGATATAAAAGTATACAAAATCCATATATTGTTGCCAATTTAGGCAAACTATCCACTATTATAGCTTCTCTGCATAGGCATTTTGAATTCATTTTTGTAGAAGTTAGAAGACTTATGTTTATATTTCATATTTTAGAAATAAAATATAAATGTTTACGAATAAATCCAGAAATGTTTTAATGAAATTAATAAGAATAACAGAATTTGGGGGGGTCTATGAAACATGTTAATATATTATAGAAGGGAAAGGTAGTCATTACTTTAAGTATGCTGACATGGGAGGAGAGGGAGGTAAATAATGCTAAATGCTAAAAATTTGCTGACATAATACTCGAATACTTTCTAGGTAAAAGTATTATTTTATTGAATAAAATATATCATTGATTTTATAAATTAAAAGGTCATCAAATTATTAATTATAGATCAAAAATAGTCCTCAAGTAGGTGAATACCTCAAAAAACACTTTTAGAGTTTTAAGAGAAATTAAGAAATAAGATATATCTTTATCTTTATTATATTTCATATAAGTAAAAATAAATAAATAGGTAAATTAACTCATAGTATCATAATAGAAAAACTTTCAATCTTGAGTATCTATTGAATAAATATTTAAAAGCAAATGCAGTAGCTACTGAAATTATTTGAAGATTTAAATAAAATATACCTACACATAAACTGACTAAAAACCAGAAATAATTAAAACTAATCATAGGTACTACTTATACCTCTATAATTGAATAAAAATTTATAAGATTACTGAATTATTTAGTTACTATATTTCAGTAATCAAAATTAATAAACAAATTCCTACATTTTATTATCTATATACATAAAAAAGAAGCCAAAAATGTATAACATTTCATCAATTGAGAACGGCTGGGCAGATTTGGCTAAATTTTTTTTACTATTCATAACTGCTAGAAGAAGGTGACCAGATATTTTCCAATGTACACAGACAATACACAAATCATGAATGGCTGGCAGAAAAAGCAATTTTAGCAGCAAAAAATGTAGATGTCAACGAATTGAATCTCAAGATACAACATTTGTTACCAGGAGACTTGGTGTTATACAAATCTATTGATACAGTTTGTGATGCTACTGAAGCTGTAAATTATCCAACAGAGTTTTAAACTCATTGGATTTACCCGGCAAGCCACCTCATAATTTACAAATGAAAGTAGGATCTCCGGTTATTTTGCTTCATAATTTGAACCCACCACGATTGTACAATGGCACACGATTAGTCGTTAAAAAATGAATGAAAAATGTTATCGAAGCCATAATTTTAAATGGCAAATTCCGAGGTGAAAATATATTATTACTGCAAATCTCTATCAAACCTAAAGATGTACAATTTAAACGCCTTCAATTTCCAATTATATTGGCATTTGAAATGACTATCAATAAGTACCAAATGATGTCTATCTGTGGCTTAGATTTGAGCACATCATGTTTTCTACACAGACAATTATATGTGGCGTGCTCTCGAACCATCCAGTTTGTTTGTGTTGACGAAAGATGGGATAGCAAAAAATATTGTACACTCAGTTGCATTAAGGGATTAATATTGTTTTTTTACTAATATTATCATAATTAGCGATTATTATTTTTAATCATTATTATAGTCCATCACCGTACACAGCACTCCATACCTCTTCCATTTATATACTACATCCTCACTTATAGTTAATTTTTTTAAAATAATGATAAAACAACGTTTGTCGGGTCAGCTAGTATATATATATATATATATATACATATATGTTAACAATTGTTTTTTATCAACAAAACCAGTTATAGAAGAGCTCTTGGTAAGATAGAAACAATTGGTTACTTATTCACTACCTGTTCATAATAGACAATGCTATTGAGTTATAATAAGCAAAAAAATATAAGATGTTATGATAACAATTACATTGAAAATCAGAGTTAAATCAACTTCAATGTATTACTTACAATTTAAACTTTAACTAGGAAGCGTGTAATTGTATTAACTGTACACAAGTCAAAAATAATTATTATAGGTACTGTGTACTAAATACAGATCATCAAAGAACTAACAATGGGTACATGTTACAGGTATTGGAGTTCAGCGGATAGTGCATTTCAAATATGAATTCAGCAATAGGAACCGTAAACGATCAAAAACCATAAGTTTTTGACTGTTACATAATGGTTGGTAGTGTGACCGCACGTGTATACAAGTTGCGTAACGCAGATCGAGGACTTACTTTTGGCTTGTAGAACCATTTTCGAATGGACTCCATCTCCGGGAAGGTGGTGACTAGCAGATGGGGCACGACCGGGTAGAGGTAAGAACCGAACACTGGCACCACTCGAATCCGGCGGCGACCCTTTCAAATGACCGACGGCAACGCCAACCCGTCTGGAGGCATATTTCACCGGGGACAACGGACGGGCGCGCGCGTCAACACATCGCGAGCGCAACACACAACGACGGAAACGGCGGTCGACACACAGAACCGCGGTGCAGCGAATAATCAACGGGTTTCAACAGTGAGCGGTAACGGGAACACTATCCGGAAGCGAGACGAGAACGGAACGGAGAAAAAACGAGGTAGTTTAAAAAAACGAATAATAACAATAAAAACAATACAATCACAGCAAGACCCGAAATAGGACGACGCAAGTGTGGACGACGCAAGCGCGCGCGCAGCCCGATACGCCACTATACTGCACGTACGCGGTGACACGAAGCGGCGGCCGTGATGAAGAGTGACCGCTCGCCGTGGCGGGGGTGTGTGGCGAAGAAAACACCGCCCCGAACGACGGAGCCAGTGATGCACGGCGCGCGGACGTGATAACAGTTGCGGTTACGTTATCGTCGCGATATCCTACCGCGCACCAACGTGCGGTAACTTGTCCACGATTCTTCCCCTCCCGTGACGATCCGCAAACAATGATCCCCCAAAGATTTTTCGCTCTTCGCACTGGTACTACTGACGCGCGTGCCCGTTTCTACCACCACCAGATGTCGCGCGCGACCGTAGAGTGTCAAGGCCCTCTGCTCGACGACCGCTTCACGTGACGCCCACGCAACCTACAGAAATCGGAAACCGTCGTGACGACGACCACTTCCGTCGACCGCTTTGTGTCCCGTCCGATCCGTCGCAACGGAACACCACGGTCCCTGGGTTACTCGTGTACAGGACCGCTTACACGAGGGGGACGTAATCGGAGCTCGAAAACCTCTTCTGAAATTCCGAGAAAATGTACACAATTATTTTTGTGCACACACAATTGGTAGTTTTGGTCCATGTTACAGACACTGCTTTGGGTAATTAACTAAAAATTAAATTGTTCATCGTTGTTTGTGAACATATAATTCAGGGTGTCCTCATGAGGGGGCTGAGGGGGGTGAACGCTCTTTCCTCGGGGTGGACTAACATACACAACAATGGGTCAATTTTATAATTTTACATTTTTTTTTTATATTTGGATGGAGTCCCCAGATGTCTTGTTATGATAAATACGTATTTGCGGTCATAGAATATATATATATTTATTACAGCCAGAAACGCAACCAACCCAAAATATCAGAAAAAATTATACGACCAACAAATTTAATAGTTATTTCAAAATCTTCCATGAGACTTGCAAATAAAATATATAAATATATACACATACAATATAATAAACAATATAGAATCCTATTTATCAATATTTTACATTTTTACAAACCCCCTATTTTTTCCTGCGTTTGCCTCGATTCAATATATATATATAACTGTAACCGAAAAGAACCGGTACTGAAACCGGTTAACCTTTAAAAATTAGGAACTGTAACTGAAACCGGAAGCTTTATTTCCAAAAATGAAAAACCGTAACCATAACAGTAACCTTAATTATAAAAGGGTTTATTTAGGTCAGTTATTTAGACTAGTAAAACTATGGTAATAATTATTTTGTTTGTCCATTTGTCGGTTCAGAAAAATAAGTGTCAAACCTTTATATGTTTTTATTATTTTATGTTGTAAACTGTAATAGTATAATGCATATAATAAGTAAATTTGTAATATTATCTATTATCATTATTATTATTTTTGTATGTTTATTAATATATTACAATATACAATGATTATCTTGTCTATTAAGTGTTAAATATAATTAATGTTTATACAAATTTGTAGCTACAACAGTAGCCAGTATTAACTTTGATTCCTAATTAAAATTAAATTTTAAATTAAAGATATTTATTTCATCAAATCATAATAATTCACAATATTACAAAATATTTTAAAAATTCTTACTACAAGTTGGAATAAAATAACTTAACCTAACTCAAAGAAATAAATAGACTGATATAATATATATATTTAATATATTTATAATTATTTTTTTTAACTATTCATAATACCTTCTATTTTCACAAAATTAAAAAATTACAATTTAAACAAGAATAAATAAATCATTTCATATTATTTTTTAATAAATCTCTAATAATCAAAATTAACCGAAATTAACCGGTTCTAGAACCCTTACTCTTTTAAAAAACCGAAACCAAAACCGAAACCGGAACCGAAAAAACCTATAAGTTCCAGTCCCTAATAAGAAGTGAAATAAGTTAAAGTAGACTAATAGATTTGGCGTTTCGTCATATTCACAGGCAGATTGTATCATTTTCAAGAATTTGAATTATATATATACTAGCCGACCCGTCACAGCTTCGCCCGTGACTGGTTGTTTATTTTGCCTTCGGACCATGATATGTAGAACTTTTTATTCAATTATTATTGTTTAATGTGATCGGCAATTAAATATAAAAAAACGGTTAATGAAAACGGATTGAAATTTTTCTAGTGTTATAAATGATAAAAATAAATACAGATAAAAAAGAAATAATTTATGGTTGATAAAGAATTTGATTGAAGTTGATGAAGAAAAAAAAAGAATTAACTTTAATATTTAAATAATCAATCTCGGATTGATAATATAAGTACACGCACAATACGGGTACAATTGTTTTTGATTTTTTATGAACTTTTATGAACTTTTTTACTGACAAAAGTGGTACTTAAACCTTCAGCAGAGTGTCGGGTTTCAGCCAAATCGGTTCAGTAGTTTTCTCGGTTAGCGCGGTCGAAGAAAAACCCTTACAATTTTATATATATAGTATAGATTCATAATTTTCAGGATTATCAAAGAAAGTCAATACAAATGTTTTTAAATGTAATTTAGGGGGAAGGGGGGGAGTTTGAACCCGGAACCCTCCCCTAAATACGGCCATGTGTTGATATGTTTTAAATAATGTAACATTTTAATGACACAAATATTTTGTATATGAGACTAGTTTAGGGTGACCCTAAATCAGAAGCGTGGCCAGGATCAAAATGTAGGACATACCCAATTATAATTATTTTAATTTTTATCTGTAGACATAATATTATTTTTTTTCGTAAACTTTTCATATTTTTAAATTTAATTAGAAAAAATTATCATATAATATAATACAACACAATTCCTCTAGTATGATCTGTTAATAATATTTAATGATATTAAAAAGTAAATAATAATGATGTACAAAATATTAATAATAACTATTTATTTTATTATTTTAAATTTTTATCAGGGAATTTATCACTAATTGACATTATGATGGAATCTAAGTAGGGGATAAATAATGATTATCTAAAAAGGCGTTAATATTATTACTTGAATATTATTGTTGTGTATGTCGAATTGCTCTTTGTGGCAGTAGGGTATTTATGGGAGGGGTGTGTTGGGGGATTCCACCCCCTCTCTCATAAAAATATTTGAAAACATCAAATTTTAAACATATCAGTAATATAATAATTTTAGTTTGTTTATTCAATAAAGTATTAAAGTATAACGAAAAAATATATATTAATATTGCTAATAATTAAATTGAAATCCGATAATAATAATCGATCGACCGCATGGCACTCACACACATATGGTATATAAATAATTTGATGCAGGGAAATTATCGGGCGATCAATATCTTAGTCCGTGACTGTCACGTCTTGTCAGTTGTCAGTATGCATTATGCGCAACATAAAGTAATATAAAATACGATTAATACGATCATACGTTTAATTTAGTTATTAACTATTATTATTATTATTATTTAGTATTTAAACAATAAGTTGATAAAGAAAATTTTATACTAATTTATAAAATTATTTCACTATTAGGTATGACACGCCCCCAAAATAAGTTTCTAAATACGCCATTGCTTCGTGGCAATACCGTTAACGCAAATTAATGCAACACACATTGAGCAGTAGGGTAATGCACTAATGCGGGCTTTTATGACCGCCGTAATTTAACAAAATAAAATTATAAAACCATGTGCATACTAATAAAAATTGAAAACTTAAAATTTTTAATAAAAAAATAAGCTCATTATTTTTAAAACTTATAGAATGACCTTTTTTTTGTTCATGAAAATTCTCAGTGAATCCATTGGCACCCATTAGCCCCTCATTGCGGACTCCCTTGCCTTTATTAATTTATTTTTCATTTGATTATTCTTGATTTTTTTTTTTTTACATTGTTTTAATTTTTATGGTTATTCATTATTCTAAAAATTATTTATTCATCATATTATTATATTAACATGACATATATAACATAGATATATAACATAACATATTATATTTATTATTTAGTTATTCATTATACATTATAACTTAAAGTTTCAACTTTTTGAAATCAATGTGTTCCGTATGAAAAACATATTAACGTATATCGGAAATTAAGCCCACACATACGCACATACATATACCTACACCCACTTTACACCTACATCTCCCACACGCAACATTGGAATTAAATTATTTTATTAATGTTGGCTTTAAAAATATATTTTTTTTAAAAAAAGTTAAACTTAAGTTTGAGTTAAATTAAAACAATTAAATACTGAAAAACAGAGGTCTTCTGATGCCTGGAAGCTATTTGATTTAGGTATGATAAAATAAATTATTTATTTACTATAGTAACACTAATATAATTAAAATAAAAATTTTGAATATTCAAACAAAATAAAAATGAGAAAAGAATGAAAAACATTTTTGATTTAAGCTATTTTAAAATACTATTTACATAACAAATAATACTTTAATATTGATAGCTATAATAGCGTAATGGTTAAAATGTTTTAAGATTTTTTCAATTATAGAAACATAAATTTAATTGATTTAATTATAAATATTATAAATATTTATTAAAGTTGTTGTTAAAAATAAAAATATGTACCTATAGTCGTAGACGAAGACAATCGTGGTTCGTTTACTGTTATAAAGAAAATCAATACACTGTTCCAAATTCCAATTATACTAATAAAATTTAAGGCTACTAAAATATAAATTAATTTTTATTTTAATTTTAGAAAATTATAAAAAGTTTAAAAAAAAGTGTACGTAGTTTGGTAAAAATAAAAATATTTAATAAACGTAAATAGAATAAGATGATTAACATTGAAGATATATTACTTAAAAACAATCAAGGTACTAGCGAGAGGTTACATCAAAAAAATAGTATGTAAATATTATTTCTTTTAATAATTCAAAACATCCACACATAAAATACTATGATCGGTTAAAGATTTGATCATTTTTAATCACCCGTACATGAATTTCTATTTAAAAAAAAAAAAATGTTAATTAAACTATTATCATACAATTTTCCTGTTTGTTTTACCTCTCAAAATCCATGGACATAAACTTATGACCTATGCAATGTATTTTTCAACACTAATTCTAATTTTTGGAATACTCGATCCAATGTACTCATAAAATTATTTATTTTAACAAGGACACTATAAAATGTATTTTCTATTTTTACTTAGTCATTGGCTCTAAACTGATTTAAATCAATATTAATATATATTAATACACAAATGACAATTTAGTTATCTTAAGAAATGTATTTAAAATAAAAATGAATATTATCATTATTATAATTTCCAGTTTTATTTTAAATTGAAAAAATATTTTTTACTTCGTTTATTATTAATTTTTATTTGTTATTTTATTGACAAACAGTGGATATAAATTATATTTGGTCATAAAAATAAAAATTTAATAACTACGAGAAGTTAATTATAGTAACTTCACAAAATGTTTGTTATCAAAGAAGCAACAAATGATACTTTATGAAATTTAGGATTAAAATTAAACAAATATTCACAAATAATGTTTATCTGGGCTTTCATTATTAATAATTTGTATTAATTTATTTTACAAATTGAAAGTAAATATCATTTATTTTGATAATTAATGAAAACAATATTAATTGAAGTTAAGCTAACAATATCTATTTAATTAATTGAAAAATAAATAGTTAATTTAACTGAATTAAAAAATAATATAAATATTCCTAGGTTATATGGCATATAGTATATGGTGTAACTACATTTAGAGAGATCCAACTACATCAGAGGGTGCAGTCCCAATGGGGCCAGGACCCTGATGTGAAAATAGTTTTTTTTTTTGCAGTATAGTATTATATTTTTTTTTTTTTTTTTATAATAAACAAAAAATAAAACAAAAATTTTATTTTACTATTTTTTACAGCTTATTGTGTTTTATACTTCAAGTTGTAATCGAGATTGTTATTTTTGTACGTAAGACCCGCATGATATGTCTTGCGATCCATGGTATACGAACATACATATTACGGAAGATGAATAAGCGAACTAGAATAGATCTTCTATTCCAGAAATACTGTTCTTCAGAGGCATATAGGCTCTGAACTTTAAGCTCTTACACAATTGTCGCGATTACATATCTAATAGGTTTACTTTTGAATACCCGGTATTAATCTTAGAATATTATGTCACGTACGTTCATGCACAATAACAAATATGATCCGGTAAACATATTCCGAAGGATACGCAATTCTCTTCTCCTTCCATCACCCAGCAGATACGCGGAAATCGTGTTCATAATACATATTAACACATTATACTTATATTGTATTGCTGCGTTATATAAATCGACGCTGTGGCCTAGGACTTTTTAATAATTTCAACTGTAAACGACCTGTGATATTTTATATGTATAGGTATACACACGCGCTAAGACCAAGGTGATATAGTAATTATATACAACGAATTATTATTCTAGCTGTATATTAATTGCTAGCAGTATATACCTTACCCATGACGCGCGTCCGTCGTATTTATGTATTTGTTGTAAGACTTAAGAAATCCACGTGTATGTACAAATGGATTTCTTAAGTCTTTTATTTTTTAAGTAATATAATATTAGTTTATATAAATATTACATTTATAATGTACATAAATTTACTTACATGAATGTTTATAGGGATGAATAAATTTTATGGAAGAGAGTAAGTGAGAGAGAGGAAGAGAAAAAGGAATAATAAATTATGTGACCTTCAACTGCGGCTATAGAAACATCACTAACTGTAGTACGAGTATACACGCATCACCGATTACTTCGGTTCTAATTTTAAATCATTATCTCTACATGGCAATATTCAGCATGTGCATAATATAATATAAAATACATATACCTTATAATGTAACATAATTCCAACTATAAGGTTTTTAACACGCACAGCCCAGTCGGTTCAATCATGGACGGCCACATCATGGGCCTTCAATGCATATCATTGTCAAAAGTGTGCCGAGACCTATATTATATCAAACAAACTTTTTATTGCAAAGTGATCTAACTCTACTACTGTATTCGTCATAGATACTATTACGTCATCTTAGACGTAGTATTTCTAGGTTTTACTGTACCTACGCATGAGTCCTGAAAATCGACTATTACTTCGACCGAAGTTTAATAACAAAACAGTAATCCTTTAAAAACTAGTTACCCTAAAACTCGTGTTGTAAAAGACCTCTTGGCTTATGTGCATCAACCAAATCTCTATACAACACTAAAATTCTATACGTTTTTGGTAAAAAACCCAATTGAAAGACCTTCATTCGAATTTACGTATTGGTAAATTTAAAGGATTCGTACCTTAAAAACAATAAGGACAGGTACTCAAACCAAGATTTTTCTCAGAACATCTCGACTTACAAATTTCAAATTCTGAAACACATCAGTATGATGAACATTAAGTATACAGCCGAATAAAATATAATGAAAAAAAGGAATGTTTTATCAATCAATGAGTCATTGGTATAGTATATCTAAAATAATAAATACATTTTTTTCAGAAACAGTTCAATTTTCATTGTTCCCGAGCAGTATCTGTAAGAGGTTAGATATCGATACGCAAGGTCATATTGGCAAAAAATTACATACAAATGCGTATCCAAATTTAAAACTTATCAAATACAATAATACGAGTGGGTTACCGCGAACGCTGAAAGATGGTTATTATTCAAATGAAGTGGTTTCTATACTTCTAATATTCGTTAGAGATTCATAACATACAAACATTTACGACATACGTGACTAACTGCATGCTCTCTACACGAACATTTAAATATCACTAATATCAAACAGTAACCACTACTCACACATATAAAATTCTATGTTATTTGATTATTATTTTGTGCACGCAAACAATATAAACGAACCAATTAAACTTATACACACTTAAGTCCGATAATTTGGAAGTACGTATTTATAAGCATATGAAATGTTCTACAATGAGTCGACGGTGGTAATCAACTGTATTTAGGTTATACTGTAATATGATTGATTTCATTGATTGCTTATACATTTATCGTTTTTTTTTCCGTAAATTTTATCGCGTATTTGGATTCAATTTAGCATAATATACTAATTATGAAAAACACTTAATAATGCTGATTCAAGAAAATTACATTTTTTTTTTTTTTTTATAATTTTTGGGATATGAACATAATCTAAATACGTTTATCAAGAATATCGAAATTTTTTTACGTACATTTTATTGTGTTATTGAATTAGGTGTGGCATCCTAACACTTAATAGTGCGTTAAGAAAAAATGGATTTTTTTTATTTATTGTTATGTAAGTTTGTACAACTGATTTTATTCATAAATTCAAATAATGTAAACATGTTTTTTTCTAAGAATTGTGTATATTTTAGTTGAACATTTTTCTTTGGTTCAATTTTAATTTAAACATAAAATACTAATATTTTCTTGAATGTACAATTTTATATTTAATTTATTATATTATTTCAGGTGTATTATTTTATAGTATTAGTTTAGGTATATAAAAATAATATGCTGTATTTATACATATACAGATTAAATGCAAATCTTAATGCATGTTTAACCATTACAAATAAGTAATAGAATTTGTCCGACTCACAAAAACAAAATGAGAAAATATGTCGATATTTGTAATACTATAAAACAGATGGTTCAATACAATTATAAACTATACAAAAATAAAATATTAAACAATCATAACGTAGGTATTCATAGTTAAGTATAAAATTCTTATAATAATTTTGTTCAGTCTATCAAATATAGTTACATGGCTATAGACTCATGTATAATAAAATAACACTGAGTTGTATTAGACAAAAAATGTTAATAAATAATTTATTTTTTCGTAGAGTCTATCCGAAATACTATATATTTGATCGTTTTCATTATCGATGGACTTTTTCACTTTGTTGTCAGCTGCTTGGTATGCGTCACCATTTAATTTTTGGTCTTCATCGTCTAAACAGAATAATATACACACATCATAAAAGCTAAATAATGATTACAAAACAAATTTTTCACTCCACAAAATATTAATAACAGCTCGCATGCATTTAATTGTTTAATAAATTTGAAATACAATGAATCTCGTCTATAAGATAAAATTCATATAGGTTTTCAATATTATATTTTAATTTCACAAATAATTATCGTATCTGCAGTATGAAGTTCATCAATCCATAATCACAATATTTTGTTTAGTACCGCAGGTTCTACATCTAAAGATGATAATTTCAGACGAGTTTTACCGCGGTTTAATTATTTTCAAAAATCAATAGTTATATAAATACATAATGAATACGATTACTTAGTTAAAATGGTTTAAAATTTCGTAAATTTTAGATGAACATTAACATCAACAAAGATAATGCAGAATTAAGATAATGCTCTTAACGCAGAATGAATAATTTTCAAATTAAATTGTCACGTATTTTTTTTTTTTTTTTTTTTTTTTTAATCTATACCATTTTACCAATGAACAGTGGATTAGAAATAGTTAAACTTTATTAGATACCTGGTATAGTATTATCTAAAACGAAACCGATTAATCCGCCGATCAACATTCCGGAGGATAAGTACACGGAGATGATATTGTTCATCATTTCATACTTTGTGTTGATGAGACTATTGTTTACCGAAACACTTAAAAAGTACTTCGGAAGCGTCTGCAAATAGAGAAATCGAACGACGGAGTTATAGACATTTAATTGATATCATAATGTAAACCAATGAGTATACATACCAATCCGAAAAACATGGACATACCAAGAATATACATGTTTCTTATCGAGTTGAGATTTATAAACTGTAGATTTGACAGAGCTGTGAGAAAATAAACAAACAGTAAAACATTAACTAAATACAACGTTAAAACTATAATGTTGGTGCACGTATTAAGATTTATTGAAATAAGGATTTGGGTAAATTGTTATAAAAGTTATCATTCTCGGTGATCAGGAATAGCACATTTCAAATTTTTAAATTCGCCTCTTAACATGGCCAATAGTAGTAGGGTATTGTAAATGCGATGAGGGAAAAATGAACATTTGACCATCGGCATTTTGTACGTGGACGCGTACATGTACCCATTGTGTAGTATACAACAATTCGGTTCACTTGCCTACAGCTGTGATCAGCACGAGTAATACCGACGTCACTGCACCGAGCACTGGATCTGGCAACGTGACCAACAGTGCTATTAGTTTGGTAAACGGCGAAATTAAAATCATTAAACAGGCAGCATACACGATCACGTTTCTACTGCACACCTGAAACAACCACACAACATATACATATTTAGTAATCAATATGCAACTCTATTAAGTAAATTAAGACCCAACAAAAATTATGTAAATAAAAATAAAATAAAAAAACAAATTTTATTCTACAGCGAGTATATCAATTTAAAACGGAAATCAAATATTTGATCGATATAAAATATATAATATATATTATATATAATCATATACTCATGATTTAATCTATTAATGTACGTTGCCGTTTTTAGATTTTCCATAAGCTACTTTTTGATGTTTAAGAAGATTATCTCATGTTGGCCGGTTGAATTTTTTATGTTTACACTCACTCGGGTTGGAATACAATAAAAATAATTGTGTTGTTAATAATCGATAGCATAACGAATTAAATATCATCTGTGTAATATTATTATTATTATTATACGTGTTTTAAATTAGTAAAAATAAGAGTCCTATGCCGCATGAGTCGGCCAACTTAAAAATACGTATTCGAGGATTATAATATCGGAATCTTGTGAGTCTATTTCTTGCGCCGTACCAATCATTTTTATATATTAACATTAACATTTCTTGTACGCACATTTAGAAGTCGTTTGTACGGCGTCGCAACAGACACACATGTGATATTTAGTAAAGTAATTTTAGCCACACATGATTTGTTATCGCATTATAACATAAATCAATAAAAAATAATGATAATAATTTGTAAATGTATAAATTTAAAAAGCAGTTATGAAAAAACTCTTAATTTAAGTCGTCTCCGTCCGACTATTTTTGAATCTTCTATTAAAAGGTAGAAAATATAAATCATCAATTTCAAATGATATGCACCTTCCAAACGTAGGTACACTTTGTTTAAAAACTTCAATATAATATTCGTACACTAAATTACTAAACATGTAAACTTATCGAAGAATTGGTTTATTCATACATATTTTTTTCAAATTAAATATAATTAGATTAGAGAAATAAAATGCGAACAAGACAGATATATTTTTCCTACTTTTCCATTAAAATGAAGTATTGGTTTGGTTGGAGTTTTAACTCAATCGTATATTTTATCTTGTTGTGCGAGTTTTCATGCTCAAAATATTTTTTATAATAAATATTTATTTTATCGACGCACATTCGCCCAACTGTTACTGTTGAACCCATTATAATATAACGATAGAAAATTTAAACTCAGATCGGTCTACTTGAGAACAGTCAAGACACTTTTTTTTTAATTCATTGGGCATTTTTTATAATTTTCTCATTTTCAAAATTCAAAATGTTGAGGATTCAGAAACAAAATCTAAGAATGAGATCAAATATACGAGGTTTTCAAGGTTTTCACCGTTTCATTAAATGGTAGACGTAATTGCAGAAAGATTGGTAGGTTTTATTGTAAATCGATCATCTAATGATCTTAATACGATAATCTAAATTATGTAATTAATTACGTTAATACATTTAATACATAGGTATGCATTTATATATGTACTACTTTTGACATGTTTTAATTTTTCGGTTTAATTAATAATCTATCCCTCCATAGACATGTTCTGTGAAAAAAATTTCGATAGTATCGACTTCGATAAATCATATTTTATTTAATTGCTTGCTATAGATATTTGATATATTATAAATATTTTTATTAAAAAATTTTTCAGTCACAAAATTAAAAATGAAATATTAGATAACAAAAATTTTACAAAACAATTTTTTTCATTGAGAACAATAAAAAATAATACAATAGACTTTTATTTATCTTAACATATTTTAATATTTCATTGCACCATTATTTTTAATTGTAAATTCCAATATTTCTCATGGAGTGATGAAAAAAATGTTAATGTTTTTTTTCAGTTGTATGTGTTTTGCGACTGACATATATTGTAAACGTATAAGTATATAATCAAGAATGGAAACTGAGTCAGAAAGCAATGGACATAAGGTGGATTGTGAACATTTGGATGTAAGAAATGATACGTTTTCTCGCAATTATTTAAAATATAAAATGATAATTTAATTTTCGTAATAATTTTGAGATAAACAGACCAGCACATAAAAAAATATATCAATAATATATCGATATTATATTGTCATACGTTTTAAATATAAAATTATATCGATTTATGAAAGTAAAATATCAATATCGATACATCAAACCCATGCCTACTCCTTCGTCACATTTAATATATAGCAAATACATTTTTATATGTTTTTAAATTTTTTTTTGAATAATTATTGTTGTGTTTCTATCTAATATATTTTTAATAAATTGAAGTTATGTACCAATGTTATACGGCTTATTTATGTTTTCTCCGTAAATACGAAAATAGTATAAAATTATTTAAAATAATGTCTTCAAATAACCTTGTATGAAATGTAATCAAAATAATCTCCAGTCAAGAACGTTGCGAATGCGTAAATGTAAATGAAATAAGAAAAAGTACTGGATTTTTAACTGGAATAACTGAAATTATTTTCAGAAATTGTTCGTCTATTTAATTACGAAGAAAAACAATATTTTATGTTATCTTAATTTTAAAAGTTATTCATTATTATTAATTATTATTAATGCTCTTATTTCAACGATAATAAATAAATAGAACAATAAAGTCTTAATTTGAATCATTATTATTAGTTTCATCAAAATGAAGACCAATACACTAATATAACTGGTATATTGTAATAATATTATAAAATGTCCCCAATGAATATGCGTTGAATATCACGACCAATTATTAAAATATTCTACAGAATAACATATAATGCTGTCAATTGTAAATAATTACAATGCAGATAATATGATTGATGTTCGCCTCACACGATGTTTCAAACAACGGCAAAATACATGATTTTAAACGCATATATTAGTAGTAATTCATACGATAAACTATATAAGAGGTTCTCAAAGTTTTCGAATGATTTTTTGATTAATAGTTTAGATAGATATATAGATATATGGATTAGTAGTTTTGTTTCGATATTCGGTGCGTCCTCTCGGATATACGATTGTAAAAAGTACAATGATTTCATGTAGCGTTGAAATCTGAGAACCTGCAAGTTCCGGACTTGTGTGTTTTATTTTCGAACAGACGATCTCTTAACGAATAAGAGTCGCATCAATTAATAAATATGGTCCATTTCGATTTCTAGTAATATTTATTGCGATATTAGGTACTTACCTGAGTGATGCCGATATTGCCCACGTTTTCACTGGACACGCCGACCCCGGATCCTATGCCCAGAAAACCGGCCAGAATTGAACTGATACCTTGAACACCGATACCACGATTCACCACATTCGCGGGAGGCGTTTTGAGATCTGTAATAAAACGAAACACGTGGATTAGTTTATTTATACATTGTATTTGTCATTAGATTTGAACTGAAACACATTCACACAGAAATATATATACTTACTGGCAATTTTTGCGCACGTGTAAAAATTTCCAACGGATTCGACTATGCTAATAAAAAGTGCAGGTAACATGGCCATTATTGAAGTCAAACTAAATTTCGGCCATCCCCATTGAACTGCAAGCAAAACAAATAATTACAATATTCGCACAAAAAAAATTGGGCTTATTACTCGGACAAATGAGGAAGTACGATATTTAATCGGAAATTTGGTAAACTTTACTATCAAAACTAATTTTCTCCTTCGCAATACGTTCGGGGATTTCTATTTTTATGAGAAGTGACATTTACAGCATGAAAATTGAAGGTTCAAGGTGTTAATTCTTGTATAATATGTGCGAATCTCGGGCATATCACAATACTATTTGTTTCGTTGGAGTATTTCGAAATCTCGCTAAATACCTAGTTTTTCTTCCATAATTAAAAACTAACGCGTTTTTATATTCATAAAACATCATTTATTGAGGTAAACCGATTAAATTATGTATTATTGTTACGAAAAATGTTACAGTTGACACTTAAAACGAATCACGATTAAATATTAATATTTGACATTTGTATAATAAAATAAAATTATATACTCACAAGGGTAAGGTAAACGGAATATTTGTGAGTTATGGAACACTCCGGACTTTGAATCTGTGTTCGCAGGATCCGTCGGTAATAAATTGTTATTGGAAGTCATATAAACACACGCTATCCACATAATACCCACACTGAGCAGAATCTAAAACATAAACAAACCCAGAATTATTCGACGGGGATTCTTACTTATTTATTAATTAAATAATTCAAAAGTGAGCTTACCGAAAACAATGCAAATATTTTCAATCGCACCTGGAATAGTCCTTTCGAAGACGAATAAAACGGAAGGGGGATGGCAACCTTGCGCAAGTACTGGGAGAAGAACGTTAGAAAAAGTATTGTTCTGATTGTACAATAAAACACATAAACGCAATATTAAATGTTATGGTTGAGGTTATGAAAACATGATAAATTTATAAAAATATAGGTGACAACTTATAATGTAATTAGTATAATCTGTATTTAGGTATGAATTGCATGTTTAAAACAGAAAGGTTGATCTATTATAAATCGCAATCATCAGTGACAATAACTGAGAGAAAATAAAATTAAAAAATAACCAATATTAAATTAATATTTTGCTTAAATATTTAAATATACAATGGAATCACATCGTTAGTCATACATATATGACTATTGCATGAGAGGATTTATAAGGTCAAGTGGTGTCAAACTGATTTTTTTTATAACCATCAATAAAAAAATACCTCTTAGAAACCTTTATACCAATACACCCACAATTTAACCCCAAAGAATAGGTAAATTTTAAATTCAAATAAATATAATATTGTTCAATGGCACACAATTTCTTACCGAATCACATGCATTTATGTATTTTGTTCTATATGAATTTTATAATTAATTTTATAAAAATACTTTAATGTAATAATTATGAAACAATTAGGATCATTAAGTCTTTGATCAACGAGAAAAAAAATATTATGTGTATTTAACCTAATTATAATAATTGTTAGTGGATGATTTCATTATTTTTTTTGTTTTTTTATTACTAAATTTAATCTCAAGTAATATTTATATTTTACAGTTCAAAATTAGCAATTAATATGTATAAGAGTAAGAAAGAAGTGCGCCGAGAAAATACAAAAAAAGTGTCGGATTACTTGCCGGACTATTAGGATATTTAGTATATACGTATATTTATGTAACATATATTATAGATTGTACTAAATTTTTTAACGATTAATATATCGCTTTTCCTGGTTCTATTGTAAAGTAACGGTAATTAAATAATAAAGTAAATACTAACGAGCTACACAGACATATTATCTAAATAATTTAATGGTATATAATTAAGGCTTTTAGAAGAAATTATTGATATTTTTAAATGTTTTGAATGTGTCATTCGACGATAACATTTAATGTTATTTTTAATTTTATTAAAAAACAAAATTTTTATTTTTTAATTTTTTTTATTAATTATTGTTATTGTATAATCGTTCTAGTGGTACAGTAATGTTTGGTAGCAGTGTTCGATTGTTATGGCATTTGCACATTCATATACTGGAACGTATAATAAATATCATAACCTAGAAATGTTTAAATACATTTTAACGTTCCAAGGAATAAAATAAGAGATTACATATTATTAGCATTTTTGATATCGCAATGAAAATTGATCGAAAAATCAAGTTTTTATTTAAAACAATAAAAAAACCTAACATTTATAATCTTGAGTTACAGAATATTTTTCATTTACGAGCACACGTTACCTTCAATAATCCAATAAAGCGATAAAGTTTATAAAGTTTATTAATCAAGAACCGTCGTTTTGATTAAACCGTTTCAAGAATTTACCCACAAAATGTTCATTTAATTTCAAGCAGATATAAACGGTGGTATTTTTAACGTTAACTATTTTTTTTGTCTAACGTCAGTGCGAGTAGCGCAGTACAATACCGTAATGATAACATGGAACTGAAAGTGGTACAATATAAACAATATTATTTACATTAGAGCGGTTGACCAATTTCCCGACATGAGGGATACTCCTCTTTCGATGACTGTCAGTCCTATGATGCACATGGTCGGCACCACGGTCAGGGGTGTAATGTATTTCAACGATTTTCCGACGAACCCTGCAAACAGAAAAACAATATTTTGTTTTTTCACAAAAGTATAACAATATAATAAGTAACCGCGGCTGATTTTCGAAATCTGGACTTTGTCTCATTGTCGCGCAATCGCATTGTTTGGCGACCAAACAAATATCCCAAATCTACAGGCGACAGCGGCGAGGTCCAGAGGTTATCTTTGTCGAAAGGTTAAACCATCACATCGTGTCAGACGCAGTGTATTGTAAATTATAACACTGTATTATAACAGTCGGATTCGTTTTTGTCAGAATGTCCATTATACCCCGCGATGACACATAGTACTAATTCTACAGTTTCTCGTACGCATGGTACTACAAATACAAAATAACGATTTTTATTTACAACACTTTGGCCTCTAAGGCAGAGATGGAAAAACGATCTGAAACGTAATCGATTATCGATAAAGGATATAATCGAATTATTTGCAATATAAATTGAATATTCTTTCAAATTATTCTATATTAGAAGTGAACCATGATGGCGAATAATGGAAGTAGTACAATCTTAATAGTATGACTTAATCGATTGTGACATAACGTATGCCATTTAAATGTGTTGTTTAATTTTCAAACTGATTATACAAGTACTAAGAATTTAGAAATTATAATTCACGACCGACGTATTCTTTGGAAAAGTTAATGATAACCCGCTAAGCCGATTGGAAAAGTCTAAAACCGATTCTGCGGAGTAAAATGACGAATATATAATATGTTGTACGTCATGATACCCAGAAAAATGCTTCCTACAATTTAATTTATTAACAACACAATTTCGTATAATATATTAACATATTATGTTACAAATTTGTAAAGGAAATAAAGACGTTAACGTTTTTAAGTTTTATAATTTTAGTTTTATAACTTTTTATATTACTTTTATATTATTCATAGTTTTAACTCAATTGCTATATCAGAAAGATAGAGTGAAATGCATTATATTATCCATTATAAATTTATTTTACAAACAAAGTATTTTTCTAGATACCACTGAATCTAAATCACTAAATAGCGGCATAGATCAAATACACACGTATGTGTTTAATATATGATTTCTAAGATTTTATTGTTTAAATATGTATTTTTTTAACGTTTTATTAATGATGGACTTTTTTGATCTAAAAGATTTAAATAATTTACATAAGAGACAAAACAAAGAAATAACTTGAACGGACGAGGAACTATCAGATTTCCGGAACAATATAATTAATATATTTATGTTGTACAATAAATATTCAATATATTCCCAGTTATTGTACTCGTACTACTAGAATAATAAGTGTTTTAAAATAAATAATAGCGAGTTCTACGGTAACTGACATGAGCTACAAATGGTTGTTTGGCTAACCGACACGTATACTATCATTATATTATTATTACAATACACCTATATTAACTTACCACTGTAGCCCAACAACATTTGAACGATACCGACGGAAATTATGGCGCCTTGGATGTACCGGACGCGGAGTTGCCATTCCAGGGTCCGCTTTTCGGGGCCCATTGAATACAGATCGACTTCACTATAACACTGCCATTGCTCAAGGTTTAGTATTGGAAGCGTGAACGATATGTATACGAAACCACTGGACTGCATGATTGGAAGCCTGTTGAGGTGTAAGGAAATTAAAAAATAAACTCTTAGTATGATAACGGTTCCAGGTGTAAGTTAATTGTCGTTTTAGATTCCGAGTGAAGATAGAAATTCATTTTTAATTGTATATTCAAAATTTATGATAAATCATTCCCGTTGATCGGAAAACAATTCTAAGCGAACTATGTCTTTTAGTTAACAAGTAATAATAGGATATATAGATTTATTATACGCGTTGAATACATTGTCTAATATAAACTTCATAGGATCAGAAAGAAAAATAACCATCAACAATCAATTTCGAGCAAATAATCAAATTTATGCCATATTTAAAATTTATATTGTAAATATTTACAGTATAAATAATAAATGAAATCTTTTGTTACGGCCCTGCTACAGTCAAGGTGTTGATTTTCTGTGTACCATGTTTGATCACGAAACAAGAAAAAGAAACTGTGAAACCGTTTTCCGTTTCGTTCAAATATCTTATACCGACGGCGGTATACTGTACCTGACACCCAAAATGGTTTGAAGCAACGTGCTGATACCGGCCACCATGATGGCCGTGGACAGCAAGTACGCCCGAGCCGGGTCTTCCGGTAATATGCAAAGTGCCGGAGCCAACACGTTGGCTACGAAGACTATCCCGCCAACGGTAGTCACTGCGTTCTGCGGAAAAAATAAATAATATTAATAATATATAAATGAATTAACAAATTGTTTATATTTAGAAATAAATAAATAAATCCTTAGTCTGAAGTATTAAAATATTTTTATTCTACAAACGGTCTTGAATTCAAAATTCATCATCCGTTACACGCAAAGTCAATAAAATTAATAATTAAGTAAATACTTAACAATAAGTCACGATGTTTCGATGTTTTTTTTTTTTTTTTGGGGAGTTATCCGGCTGCTAGGATCATCCCCCGTCTTAAACTAGTTCTCTAACTTTCTCTATTCATTGAAAAATCCTTCCGTTTTACTTTTCCTCTTAATTCTTCTACGACCCTCTTAAATTTATCTTTCCGTCTCAATTTTGGTCTTCTCAAGGGTATTTTTTCAACCGAATTCTATTCCGACATATCATTTTTCTTTTAAAAATGGAAAAATACGTAGAAAGAATGAAAATAACATAATTTTGTTTTAATAATTATTAAATGGAGATTGGAGAATAATTGATCGATTTTCTTTTATATGCATTATCGTATATCAACGTTTATTTTGTGGACCGTGTTACCAAAATTAAAAAAAGTTTGGTTATAATTTATTAAAGCTACAATTTTGCTGCAGCATATTGTCACGAGGAAGGCATTTGTGTTGAATAAATAGGTTTAGTCAGATTGCACTTGGATTGATAAAAGGTATTGGCCGAACTGCGCTCAAAAAAGTTATTTCACCAAAAATATCATGCATTTGAAGGGGTTAAACGTTTAGAAAACACTAATTTCCCATTTTACTTATAGACTCAGGACTGACAATGGATTTTAACCATTGGCATGGTTAAATATGATTTTTTTATCCATACCATTATATTACATAACATAATATAAATATAAGGTTTTTAAAATTTTAAAAGTATTTAATTACATAATTTATAATATAATTAATTAAATCATCAAATATTATTTTTATCATTGTTATAATTTTTTTCAATTCAATTTTTGTAATAATAACATACTGAATTCAAAAACCCTAACCTGGTAATACACTTTTAAGCATAAAAATTAATATATTTTTCGATATAGTTTATTTTTTTCTGGTGCCGTGATGTTGAAGGTCTTATGTCAACATTTTGCATTAAAATATAAGTATCTACTCATATTTGCAATCACGTCTAAATGTAAGAATCGTAATACTTTGAACGTTTCTATAAATAACGGTTTTTTTTTTTTAAGACGTGTATAGGCCGTAAAAACCGAGTGTGTAGAGGGTGCATTGCGCACAGGCCCCGGGCCTTAAACTATACATTATGCGGCCTCAAAAGGTCAAATGCTCCAAAACGTTTGACGATTGGGGGTCTCGAGGTTTGATGCGCACACGGACCTGAAGTTGTCTATATGTTACGGCACTGTGTATAGTAGAAACAAAACGATTTTCGAGTACAAGTTTTGTTCACGAAAAATGTTCACCTTCTCATACATCGAACACGGTCATAATTTTTTTTATGCACGCAAACGTTCAAAGTGGAATCCCGCCTTAAGTTTTAACTCCTTTTTCGAATGAGTGCAGCTCGACCACTACCTGATTTTCACCCAATTGCAGTTCGACCATTACTTTTTTTCAACCCAAGTACAATTCGACCATCTCGGAAGAAACTCGAACATAATCATTTGCAAAGGGGACGTCGAGGAAAAGCCCTCGTCACGGCAGTATACCACCAATGTTACCAGTGATACTACGAGCGCTATGTGTCGATATATAAACTTTTTAATACGTTGTTCGTTTGCTTTGCTTTATCCTTTATCTGTTGGAATGTCAATTTTGTGGCTTTTTTTTAATAATTACAATACCTATCGTCAGCAAGTATAGGTATCGATAAATAGTCTTTTTCATCCCGTCCGTTTCCTCTATGGTGGGGGGAAGAGTAGGGCTTTCGGAATTTTTATAAGATGCGATGCTCAGAATGCATTTTGATTAAATTATTTTCTTCGTCGATTCAATCCCCTGGACGTTATTCGAAATTTAGGGCTGGATCGAACGAATCTCGCGCGCGTATGTACCCACCTGTAGGGCCAACAACAGTGTCAGGCACACGGGGGGCCTCTGGTCGACCCGGTACACGATGCGACGTTTGTCCGGGTCCTTCTTGTCTCCTGCGAGGAAGTCGAGCCGTTCATCGCCGCCAGAATCCACTTGGATCACGTCCATCGGTGCGGGCTCAACAGCCGGGCACTCGGGTACCGTTCGGAAACACCGGTATGATCCGGTCAAACGGGTGGGCGCGAACGGGTAAACAAGACCGGACGGTGGAGACGGAGCGTCGGCCGCAGCAAACGAAACGCGGTAGGTACGGCGGCACTGACCGCAGCGGTGCTCGGCTAGCGCGCACGTTGCACAAATATCGCCCTACTCCTCCCACAGCGCCGTCCGGGATAAACGTTCGCATCTCTTTTCCCCCCCGATTAGCTGTGTTATTACAACGATTATGTATTCGTTCGTCCGAATCGATTAATTAAGACGCTTATCGTGTCGACGTCGTTGTTGTTGTGTTCAGCTTCTCTCCGGAACGTGATCTTTGCCCGTCCGATACCGAGACCCGCGCAAAACTCCCTGCCGTGCGGGTACACAACGTGTATTACGGTACGGCAACCGGTCGGGTTCGCTTTGTTGCGTCTCTCGTTATCTGGGTTTTTTTTACATTTTTTTTTTTTATAATTGTTTCGCGGGTCAGTGGTGAGTACTAAAACCGTTTTGTTACGGTGAACCAAATAATACGTGGAGCTGTTTCTCGACCACGACGGACCGAAATAAACGTCAATCGATTCGGTGCTGTGTCGGAAACTGTGGACTTACCGTAATCGTTCGGGTTAGGACTGCCGTAGATAAAACAAACAAAATAAGTGACAGAACGCCGACGGTTACCTTATCCTCACACCTTGTGTGCACACCAAGGGCGTACCTAAGGGAGGGGGAGTTCAGGTTCGGCCCCCCCCCCCATTTAATTTCTACATACTCAACGGTTGAATATTAAATAGTATAATAATCTTCAACATACAAAGTTTATAGATAATATAATATAAGCCATACTATAGTGTATTAACAGTAATTTGTTGGTATTGAGTTAAACTATAATTATAATTAGAGAACGGATAAAATAAAAATTTTAGACCCCCCCCCCATAAAAAATTCCTGGGTACGCTCCTGGTGCGCAATGACTATAACTGAGCAAATAAATAAAACGTGTAGGAAAAAAAAATTGTTATATTTTTTTTTTAAAGACACAAACAATTTTTTAAATTTAAAGACGAGGACAACTAAAGTGAAATATTGTCGTTGATATATATGAAGCTAATTCTGTAGTAACATCAAAAAGATTATTGTTTTCAACTGTTTGAAATAATGCAGTATTTCTATTAAAAGGTATTAATTACAAATACAAAATAATTCAAGTTTCAAAAATAAGATAGTGAATTACATAGAAATAAAAAATAAAAAAATGTATCGAGACAAAAAATGTCATGTACTTTTAAACTTTAAAATGGAATTATTTAGAAGGTTCTTGACCTAAGTTTAAACCTGCTGGTCCCAAAAGGTTACCCGCAGGTCCTGGTAGGCCCAGTTGTTCTTGATATGACTTGAGAATATTTTGAAAAGCATTTACATCAATGTCCACCGGTTCAAAATCTTCTACATCTGAGAAATTATCTTCTTCACTCTCATCAAACTGGACATTTGAATTTATTCGAACAGTTTTCTACAAAAAGAAAAATTAAAATTAAAAAAAAGGCATAGAAGTAATAATATTGGTTACATACTTTTGGTTTATTTTTGCTATTAGTTTCTTTTTTAACAAAACTACTTCCTAAAGATGTAGATGCCAATTCCTTATCCATTTGATTCATGTATTTAGAAATACTAGAACCGCGATCTTCTAGAAATAAATCATCAAAAAATAATTTAACTATAGTTTTTTTATGTAATATTAATATAATAAATAAATACTAATATAAATTAAAATTCCATAATCTAAAAATAATAGAAATTAAAAGAAAATGTAGTATCTTAGGTCAGTATTACTAACACTAGTTTGACATCAGTCAATCAATACGAATATCACACCATACCAGTAAATAAAAATTTAATTATATCAAATGAAAATTGTTGATAGTCAACTGATGACAAATTAAAGTAATACTGGCTTTATATTGTTTAAAATAATGAAAACAAGTACAACAATGTTGTTTTTGCTTGAGTATTAAATTGAAAATCGATTATATTTATGGAGAAACATTTCATAAAAAAAAAAAAAATATCAAATAATTACCAGACAAAATATCATCACAATCACTACCATAAGAGTCCATGTCAGAGCTGTTTGATTCATTCCAATCATCTTCGGGTATTTTAAAATCTAAAAATAATATAGTTAAAAAAACAGTAATAACTCTTATAACTAGTAAATTAATTAATTTAAATTGTACCTAAAATACTTCTAAGTGCAGCTTCATATTTTTCAGGTTCAAAATTGATATTATTTTTTTCGATACTTTTACTTTTTTTTTTCTTATATCTAGTGGAGACTGCATCTTTATCGTCATTTGTTGGACACATAACTTCCGGTCCGCAAACTAACAACTCAGATAGCTTTTCGTTTAGTGGTTTAGCTGCATTTTCATCGCCATCATCATCATCATCATCATCATCATCATCATCACTAAAAATCATTAACTAATAGATAATAAATTGAACACTGGTAAAGTTTAAATACACATCAATATTTTGTTACAAATTTGAAGTATAGTAAATTGAAAATCACATTGCTTTAATGAAGCTGGAATCAATTTAATAATACATGGTATATTTTAAAGAAGAATAATGTTTTGTTAGACAAAAATTATGATTTGCAGAGCTCGTAAGTTCATGCATTTGCATATCAATCTTGCAAAGTTGTATTTAATGCTAGATGACATAGAAATCCATTTCAAGGTACTACGGTTAAATATGTGAAATCTTATTTTGCATGTTTTTGCATATTTCTATTTTATCAAGCATATTATACAACATTCTATTAGAATCTATCAAAAATTTAAATGGAAAATTATATAAAATTAAAAATAGAAATTGTATTATCAATTTTTTCTTATCTTCTTGATACTCATACATCTAATGAATAAATTTGTTTCAAAAGTTTCAGATTTAAAATTAATTACTGACAAAGATGTACATTATACACAGTTCATGAAGGCTCAAGAATATTATTAAATAGTATTTAAAATCAATTTTTTTTTTTTTTAATTGTGACTAAAAAATTAAATATAGGTACAAAAAAACAAATGGATAATTCATGTTTATTCAAAAACTGTTTATGATTTTTTTAAGTAAGCGTTTTTAAGTGCATAATTTTAAATATTTAGTGCATATAAATGCATATTTTTTAAACTTTTTAAGGCATATTTCAAAGCATATTTTGCCAATTTTAAGTGCATATTTGTATGCTTATTTAGGCATTTTTTAAGGCATGAACTTACGAACCATGATCATTTGTAAGTCAATAAAAATCCTGGATCATTGATAATACATATATAAATAATAACTATTATTTTTATTTAAATGTATTTTATATACCTTAGATGATTTTTAGAAAATTCTGCTCCATTAATGTCAGACGCTTGATTCAAAAAGCTTCTTATTTTGTCAGTAAATGTTGAAGCTAAATTAGACGCTGAAGTTTGTTCAGAATTTTTTAATCCAAACTTTTGTTCAAGAATACGATCTAAATCAGACGGTGTCACATTTAACCATTTTTCATCATCGGCTGGTTCCAGAACAGTGGTGTCAGATTTCAATTGTGCTATTTCATCTTTAGTAATACCATCTAAAATTATTTTAATTCTCTGACTAATTGAAGGTGATGATAAATATTCATCTACATTTGAAAGATAATATTGCTTAGCTTGATCTTCTAATAATTTATATCCATTTGAACCTTCATATAAATTCTGTAATAGAGAATACAAATATAAATATAACTATATTGATTAAAATACAATATTTATTAATTCAATAAAAAACTATTAACATTATAAGAATTAGGTATATATACAAGATATAAATATTATCTAATCTAGTTGCTGTTAACCCGTGATTGGTTACCCTATGATCAAAATAGCTGCACTTTTTTTTCATCTTTCATAAATCATTTATATTTTATTTTTATTTTATATTTTACACATTACTACTCATATAAGTCAATAATATACAAATGATAACATTTTTAAAAGGTTTACTGAGTATCAATGACTGAAATATAAAATGTAAATGTTTTATTAAAGACAAAGAAAATACTATAATTTGGACCATAGCATGACAAACGCTGGATTAAATACAATTAATAAAAATTATTTAATAAGACAAAATTACATATAGGGTGTTTCAAAAAGAACGCAGAATTTAAATCTGCTATAAATTAAATTTATTTCTTTAAAAAAAAACATAAATATATCATTTCCTTCAGGAGGAGTTAAGGTTTAACAGTGAAAAACAATATTGGGCATATGACCCTTCCATCTAACCCTACAGACCATACAGTCGGCGCTCTTCCTCTTGAAGTATAACAAAATGTGCCTGTTATACTTCAAGAGAAACAAACAACAAACCAAAGCTACCCACTTCTTACTTGACGCCATGTGATTTTTTTCTTATAAGGATACACTAAGTCACAAGTTTACCAGAACAAAGTTTGAAATGTCTTGGAATTTAAGCAAGAAATTCGTCATGTACGCAACGTACTTAATGGAGCAATGTGTTATTCAGTGATGGTAAATTTTATTTATATTTGTCATGTTTTTTTAAAAGAAATACATGAATTTATAGCAGATTTAAATCCTGCGTTATTTTTGAAACACCAAATACAAATTAAAAATAATAGTCAAATGATGTTTGCTCTTTTTTCTATCTTAAAATCTAGAATAACTGATGATTCAGATAATTCACAACTAATAAAAATTAATTTGGAAAAAAATATCTTTTATTCAATATTTACAAATTAACTACAATTACTTGTTATATATTTTACATACCTTAAAATATCCTTTATCAGTTAATGAAGATTTGTACTGATGCCAACGCTTATCATAAGTTAAGTCTATAGGTGTATTATTGACAGCTGACTTTGCCTGACTGACTAATATTTCAAAACCGCAAGCCTAAACAAAAAGCTTTCTTAGAAGGTACATAAGGTACATAAGTAGTCAAGAAAAACCACTTGAACTATATTTATGAGTATATATAAGTTAGATATACTGTATTAAATAAAAAATAAAATGTTTAATTTACTATTTTAATCCCTATAATCTGTGCTTGATACTGAGGATCAGACGATTCAACTAAATTCCAACCAGTCTTCCTTTCAGGAATGAATTTCTGTTGAACAAGCATTGCATACAAACATTTAGTCATGGTCACCATACGCATTACTCTTTCTTTAAGAGGAAAATTTCTAAAAATAAAATAGTAAGAAATGTTCAAATGTTTATAATGATGTTTTGAGATAAAACTAATTACTTCATCACACGGCAAGCTCTAACATCCAATGGATCTCTGTGACAAAATGCTAAGACAGCAGGTGCTATTAAACTAGGTTGATGTTTTAAAAGGTAAGCTATATCTACAGGTATATAAGCATGGCAGCGGTGAAGATTTTCTTTGATTTTTTCTGGGTACCTGAAAAACAATAACATTATTCTCGGTATAAATTATTAGATTTATATTTTATTTACCCATGCAAACGAGATGATATGGCATCATTAACTTCTTCGGTAGCTATTGTGGCAGTAGGATATTTGATGATCTGTTCTAATGCTTGTGAAATGGTAATTGACTTTTTGCTATTTATACTGGTCAATGGAATAATATGTATATCACCATCATTAATATAAACCTTTAAAGACAATTAATTAAAATATTTTTTATAAATATTTAATTTTAACCGTATAGCTACCCGTTGATGACAATTAACGGGATCAGCCCAATTAGGTAAACATTCAGCTGCTTCAATCAGTAGAAATTCACCATCAGAATCTATAACACTGTAATAGAACCGTGACAAACATACATACATATAAAAACCTAAGAATGAATAAAAATATACCGAATGATGAGTTCTTGATATTCTTTTGAGATCTCTTTCAACAGGTAAACGATGAACCACTCATCTTCTATGTTATCTCCAAAATGTGTAACTCCGTACAGATGAGTTGGTAATATTTCTGGAATGAAGAAAACACAAATATAATATAAAATGTACAGATGCACATAAATATAGTTCCAACAATCTGAATCGTAATGAATAAGCTGACAGCTCACAATGATATTAAGACAATATTGGTATATTACCGTTGGAGGTATCAGAGAATGACTGTCGGAGCTCGACCGAAGGACAAAATCTCGGGATCAAATTGAATTGGTCTTTGTGCCATATGTATCCGTTGGACAACCGGTCGACGAGCTCCAATACTTTGGTGTTCAATTGGTTGATGTTCTTTACCAATTCTTCAGCGTCTTCATTGCCGTCGCCTGGTCGGACGAACAAGAAATACTCGACAAAGTCGTCATCCCTGACCGTTTCTAGTACGCTGTCCATTGGGCGGGTTCAACGGGAACGAAGGAAAACAGACGTTAAATCCAATCCACTCAATTATTTTTTATAACCGATTTCAAACGATGAACCGATGCTATCAAATCGTGCGCAAACAAAAATACACGCTCCCATACACCCGCACAAAAACACACACACGTGCGTCAAAGCAATGATAACAGCGCGAAAATATGATATCAGTAGCAGAGAAATCTTTCTTTTTCCACGGCCAAACGACGTGCAAATGTGATCATATCGATTATACGTTTATATCAAACGTCTCTTGTCGACCGATCGCCAGAAAGTGTCTTTTGATAATTATTTCAAGTACCTATGGCGTGTTGATATGATGATGATCGTAGGTCAAATCAATATTTTCGGTCGTTTAGTGCGCTCTTACGAGGAGAGGGCAAGTTCTCACGTCGATGTACTTTTGTCTGGTAACGTTTTGTAAATTTTCTTGTCGACCGCAATCGATTCGATTATTAGTTGTCCATCGTCTCGGTCGATTAACAATCGATTGCGAACCAAATGAGACCTGGTAGAAGCGTTGATAAAAATTATTAAAATGATACTACAATAATATCCTCGGTCGACTCGATTACGGGAATACTATGCAAGTGTGTCGTCGGATCGCAGCAGAGTGCTGTTGATATTTCGTCTATGTTTTTTGATCGCCATCAGCCTTTCGCGTCTGTCGTCATAAAATGGTAGTTCATAAGGTGCCTACAAATCACATGAACGATGATCAACAAATTCAACAAATGGTGACTCAACAGCCCACCAGTTTTCACAGGTCTTCCAAGCCCATGCCGCTTGTCCGACAAGCACCAGTTTTCGACTTGGAAGTCATAACCAGCGATAGTTTTGTCCCATGGGTATGTGTGTGACGAGTCTGTCAGTCTTACAATGTTTAATTCACATTATATTTGTGTTTCATATTTATATTTGTATATAATATGTATTCTATGTACAGAAAAAATACTTTTAACATGCGTCAAGTGACCCTCGCTAATATTATTGATGTAGCCAATGGTAACGACAAAGCAACTACGAAAGCGGCCAAGATGCGTGCCAAAAACTTGGTAAATGCTGCCAAATCTTTGGATTTGCTGCGACAGAATTTACAAAATTCCATTAATAAAGATATTGATAATGTTATTAAAAAGTATTTAACGGTATGAGCTATGACTATTATAATTATTGATGTGAATTATCATTCACCAATATAAATGTAATCATTTTACAGACATATTTCGGTTTGGCCATTGACAATGTTAAAACCAATTTGGGTTCAAATTGTGTGACCGAAGATCATGTACGAGAAGTATGTAGGACAATGTTAGATGAAGCCAAATTAATGTATTCAAATCCACCATTGTCTGGTAGCAACTCACCGTTCAATACTGCACAAACTACAGATACACTTATTGAATCACGATTTGCAAAACAACATTCCAAAGTAATTTTATAATTTGCACTTGGCATTTTCATTACTGATTAGATAATATTAATTTTTAATGATTAATATCATTGCAGAACAGATCTCTACTCAAACGCAAAGAACCACCTGCTTCAGAAGCAGAAAACAACCTTTCTCCTTCAGTTGAACAAACATCTCAGCCACCGTTGGTAAAATTTCAAAGATTTCAATCTGCTTGGGACCCAACAAAAATCCACTCTCAAACATTATTTGTATTGGCCACCAGGGCCAACAAGGTACTTTTTTAATTTGTTTTTTTTTTTTTACAAGTATTATTTTTAATTTAAGACATTTTAATAATTATTGATTTGACAGAGAGGAGGTCGTATGTGCAATAAACATCCAGAACTGTTTCAATATACCATTGACTTGGAAGATCGAGAATGGCTGATGAAGCAGAAAATGTTTGTCTTGCCATCACCTTCAACTGCTAATTCCACTTCTATATTGTTATTGGATGATGTGCAATTAATATTGAGTAGTGTGAATTACAAGTAATACAATATTTTATTTAGTTATTTGTTTATTTTTAAATCAAATTTCAGTCAAAATAAAAATAATTGAAATAGTCAAGAAATTTTTCGTTTTTGTATTTACAATAATTTAATTATTTGTTATATAAACTTATACTAAAAAAATAGCTAATTAATGACAAGTTTGTTAAAAAGAAACAGTCTCTATAGAGCTTGATCAATTAATGAATTTCTACAAATTAAAGTATTTAATATTTATATAACTTATTAATTTTACACGTTACATATATATTTTTATTATTTTATTTTAAAAAAATTGTGCTAAAATTTATTCATTTATTTAAAATTTTAATAATAATTATAATTTTTAGAAATAGTCCTCACGAGCTTAAAGGATTTGAATTACCTGAATTTATATTGAACAAAGTACGATCTACAATGATTCTTAATAAACCTCCTGATATGCAATCTCCTCAACAAATAATTATTACAGAAAATGGTGAAATCGAAGAACAAGCAGTATGAAAAATCTATGGTTATAGTTATTGTAATTTTTTGTTTGATATAAAATTATGTTTTAGGCGTGCAGTATTACTTTAAATGAAAATACAAATTCTTCTATCTCTCAATCAGCTGCTCATTCAGAATCAAGTAGTATAATAATTTCAGGTATTATTAATATGAGTAATTTACAAAAGTTAATAAGTTAGTATATAAATAAAATCTGATTATTAAAAATTAAAATTACATTTTTCTTATGTCTGTTACTATAGCAATTATATAGTTTACTTATATTACCTATAAATACTAAAATATATTTTACAAATTTGTAGATCAACTTAACGTTTGTCAACTTTTTCATATAAAGATAGTACATTTATTTTGTATAGATATTCTAAAGTGTTATGCATTAGTTAAATTCTCATATTACATTATACTGGAAGTTAGAGCAAATTAATTAGGGGAGAACGCAAGAAAACATTTCGAGGGGGGGAGGTTTAAAAATATGTAAAATGTCAATAAATAGCATGCTTTATTTCTGATTATATATATATATATTATTAGCATGTTTCATGGGAAACTTTTAAATAATTATTAAATTTGTAGGTGAGGTCATTTTTTTCTGACATTTTAAGGGGGATTGACTCTCTAAAACTCTTTGCGTTCTTGTCTGAAGTTAACCATAGTTTAATAATGCTACTGAGTTGTTTATATCCAAATATATCTGATTATGAAAACTTGATTACTGATTAAATAAAATTATATTCATGCATCTAGTTAAAGTTAAATTAATTCAATCTATGATATGATTGATGATCAGATAAATTATATAATAAAAATACGAAAATTGTTTTTTTAGTCTTTTCCTTATAATCATTATTCAATTTTCGTAAATGCTAAAATGTAGTTATTTGGTTTTGATTCTACATTTGTATTCTTAAGGATGAAAATGAACTATGTTACATTTGTCAAGAGCAATTATAACGTTTGTGTAGTTTTTTTCTCTATCCCACTATTGCTTTTTCTTTCAAAAGAGAGAATGAATTAATAATTTATGAAAATTGAAAATTGAATTATTTTCAAATAAGTAATTTTATATTTGTATTTAGGGACATCTACAACACTCGCTGAAGCGTTGAATATGCTCGAGTATGGTGAAAGATTACCACAGCACAATGAGATTCCACATTCATCACCTAACAATAATTCAGGATTAGCAACCTCACATTCCACTCTGACTGCGCTTTTAGCTGCTGAAAACAATTTCATGCCCAATAGCAGTCAAGCTAATAATACACAATTTGGAATGTAGTACTTCTTACAGAATTTTTTTAAGTTTGTATTTTGCATTCTAATCTTTAATCTAGTCATGTGTGTGTTCAACTATTATTTTCTTACCAACAATTATAGTTATTTAATTTGACTCTATTCAACTTTAAATATTTAAAAGAAATATTATGTGTAACTTGTAAAATAATGTAATGATTTTGTTTCTTAATGTTTAGATGTTTTATCATAATTATTACTTTAATTTATGGAAAATAGTATTTTATTTATTAATTTATATATTATCAGGTATAAAATCCTATTTAGTTATTAATTAAACATAGTAGTTATTAGTAAATAAATACCATGTAAATGAATACTATTACAAACTGAGTATTGAATACTTGTTAATAAATATTTGTCTAGTCATTTTCATTGTGTAGTTTTGTTTGGGGGATTTTAATAAATTTTAATATATCATTTTTCATTTTTAAGCATGCCTTAAATGACATATAAAAATAGACAGAATTCTTCTGTTAATCATATCTAAGAAATTTTTTATGTGCAACTCTAAACCATCAATTTATTTATCATTTTACATTTAAAAGTTTAAATATTTCAAATTTATAACAGACTACTACAGTAGCTATAATAATTAGTGAAAAAAAGTAGTGACAATACATTTTGCTTACCTGCACCAGCACAATAACTGGAAATTACTGGATCAAAGCAATAATTCTATTTAGTCGACAGGTCATATACTAATATGTTTGGAGAGTAATTTGAAAACAATGTTAATTGTAGTTTTGTGGAAGTATGTTTATTTTACAATTCGACTGTGAAAATATATTGAATCTTACTTAACCATCAAACTTGATGGTTTATCATACGATGATAATTACAATGTGAACATACAAATAAACATTTGATTTTTCTTTAAAACATATTATACATATAAATGATAATATAGCTGGAAAATACTCTTTCAATTTACAACAATACCAAGTGATGACGAACAACCAATACAATTTTTGAGTGGACAGTGGCGCAACAAGGGAGGGTTGATAGTTATGACCCCATCAACTCAAAATATGTAGTTAACTCAATCTTATCACATCCTCATCACCGATCATCTATCAAATTTAAATTGTTTTCAAATGTATAATGTGAATATTACGTTTACCTAAACCTACTTAATCCAAATATCTATACAAAAAATTTCACTTAAAGATTTTAAAAACAGCAAAATCACCACCAGCAATGTTTGTGAAAACAATCAAAGTATTTTGGTATTTGAAGTTATACGTATGAAAATAATGAACAAAACCAATATGGGTTTATTATTACAGTGAAATATTATCGATTAGTTTTTTACGTCGAATATGGCTTTGGTTTGAGGTTTTCTTGTTTTTACATTTTTCGAATAGCAAAACACGAGATAATTTATTTTATAACTACACGACCTGGTGAAATGTTCGCTTATTCTTTTTCCTTCGACGATTTCTTTATAAACGGAAAACTGTACCTACTGAGTAAATCGTATCATACAGCCGTTCTGTGTTATCTGTGTCCGATCCATTGACAAGGGTTACCGTACGATTGTGGGTAATCATTTTCGGTGAAGAACGAAAATTTTAAATGTGGAATCGTGTACATATACATATATATGACATTTGTGGAATCATTTATGTTTATAAATGGTTATGCAGATCTATACGATTCTGCAAATTTTGCGGAATCGTAATTTAGCCATCGATTTTACTGGCTGAAAAAAGAAGTATATACGGAGATACATACGTCGTTGTCAAAAAATATATATAACGGTTCTACTCGTATACGCGTAAAAGCATAGGTGCCCGCTTTGGGCGTAGCTTGGTATTATTATCTGTGGGGGCTATATTAAAGGACTAGAAAAATGTATTCCAAAAACTCCATGTCTTTAGTTTGAATTAAAGCGAAAGAGAACATTTCCTAGAAAAAACAATTTATAGGTGTCTCATTCTTTAACTGATATTTTATTTTACAATTCATAAAAAAAAAAAAAAATAATTTTGAGTTATTAAATTAAACTTATTTTTTTTTTTAAATAATTAATAAAATATCTTCTTTCAACAGTTAATTGTATTTTGTCCAATTTTTCAAAACACTACCAACTAAGCGACAAAACATTGTCACTGGGCGACATTTGTGTCGCCTAGTTAACACGTTTAAAAAATGCACTGAATAAACACACAAACATTTGTGACAACTGACAATTTTTGGTGCGAGGCAAAATTGTAATAGGTACAAATAGTTTTAAGGAAAAACTAATATAAAAAATTTCAAAGCATCAATGTTTTTTTCGATATATCGAAGACTAATCATCGATGTATTGAACATAAACCTCGATGTTTTAAAAACATCTGTTTTTTGCTCACCTCTAGTTCTTACGTTTAGTTTAATTTGAGTTGGCCCTGTTTCCAAATTCCCTAAGTCTAGCAGAAATGAGTCATTTAATGTAATTTCAGAATGCTCGGGTTGAATATTATTAAGATCATCAGGTATTGACGAATTATTAATTTTAATTTTACTATTTATTGGACTTGGATCATCCACTGCAGTCTTTGTTGTCCCTATTTAGTGGCAATGTTTTATTGTCAGGCTTTTTCTTTGTATTAAATATACATAACATTTTTTCTTAAAAAAATAAAGAAAACAAAAAAAAAAAAGGAACAAAGATATTAAAATTAATTAAAAATGTATGAAATAATATGCTTTATAGTAAAATATAAGAGACGTGTGTGTGATTAGCAGTACACGAGCAAACAACAGACTTACTAATCATTAATTTCGAGAAAAATACTGATAAATAGTATGAGTGTGTTTCATATAATTTATTATCCATTATCGTTATATTATCATCAGACGACGCGACAATGCATGGCCCGATGATCGCACAAGGTAAAATCAAAAAATTAATACGACGTTGATCTATAAATAAACATGTTTGTGATAAAAATAAGTAGTTTTATGTAGGTTAGTGCAATAATTGTCAATACACAATAGACTGCTAATATTTTGTGCTTGATGAATTTTAGGAAAAATCATAAAAACATTTAGAACTAGAATTTATTAATTTTAGATAAAATGAGGGATTTACAGACATTTCTAAGGAGGCTATAGCCCCCACAGCCCCATGCATACTACGCCCATGGTGCCCGCAGAAATTTTTCTAGGAGGGGGCAATGTTGGGATTTAAGGAGAAATATTATAGTTTTACCATTTTAAAATAACAACCTTTTTATTATACATATGTAAATATTATTAAGTTATCAGTTATAAGTATGGGTGACACACGGATAAAGTTAATGTCATTGAAATCTCAAAAAGAAATCGTAATTGTCTCGCATCTTTTCCAAAAAAATTTCAGCATAACATTAATTTTTTTCTAATTAAGTCATTCACCGTAATCGTATAGACATCCATCATGCATAATTCATCGAGTATTTCATCGTCATGGCAGAGCGTAACTAGATTTTAACCCTCCACAACGTGCCGCTCAGCAGTAAAAATAGTTGCCGGGATGCTAAGGCGAAAATTTCCCAATTGCCGAAAATACTGATGAGTAAAATATTTGCGATTATTTCAGTATATCTAAAACATTTTTTGATTCCTGAATTTTCGCGCGATTGTGGTAATCAAACTAAATCATTGATTCAGCTGCAAAATTGTCTAGAGAAAAGAATGACTCAGTATTTCATAACTTTTTTTTTTTGTTACTGTCCCCTTGAGTAGCAATCATTTTTTAACACCCCTCCCCCCTATGTGAGAATTATATAATATAGGGTATCAGAAGAGTGATGGAAAGGGGGTTGATGATTTGGAAAATTTAAAAAAAAATTTTCTTATTATATAATAACTTTTTTTTTATTGTGTTTTATGTTTTATATATTTTTATTTATAGTACTAGTAATTTAATGAATTAAACATTTGAAACAACTTAATAATGATATAAATTTATATTTTATAATAATAAATACATTTTTTAGTTTATTTAAAAAATTATAGCTATAGTAGACGCGATTTTTGATTGTTTTTCTCAACTAAATGTTAATGTCTGATGAACTCATGACAACGACCTACCTATATAAGTGCTTTATTAGTGGCAATAGATATAATGTTTTAAGAGGAATATTTTTTTCTTTGAAAAAATCTTTGAATATATTTGAAATAAATTCACTTTTAGTATCAGCAATCAAGGTTCTTGCGAAAAGCATTTTTTGAATGATTTTTTTCCTTCTTTACAAACATAACGTACGCTGATAGTAAAGCCATATTACTCGACAATTTTCATTCGTCAATTTGAAGGGAAAATTTGGAAGATACTAAAAGCTCACATAATGAAATTTCAACGATCCAGCCATTTCGTCGGTTCGCCGTCACACAATATTGTTTAATATATGTGTAGATTATTTGTAACATTAATATATAAAAATATGATAAAAAAATTAATTAATTAATAATTAATTATCAACAAAACGTGCACATATAAAGTATATGAATAGTATGTGTATGTAAGTATGTATAAAAGTATGTGTACGAGTATATTGTATATGTGTGTATTGTTCATATATTATGAAAAAGCTAATTGTTTAAAACATTTTAGTAACAATATGAGATGAAAATATTTAAATTATGTTATCAAATTTATTGATGATATATGATAACGGGATTAATGATACATTTGTGTGTTGCGAGTTGCTTATATTGAATAATTATTGCAAGTTTCGGAGGTGTTTGGAAGGTGCATGTACTGCGTATTGTCTATACATAGAGGCCTATCCTTTTATATGTAAAATTTAAGGGAGAGTTGATCCAGAATCTACCAAATCATTCTACTAAAATCATGAAAAATTTTAATTTTTCTTTATTATAGGCCAACTATTAATGATTCTATGTACTGTGTAAAGTATCATGTCGTATAGTAATAATTAAATAAGAGTAAATACCAAAATATTCGTTATGGAACTTTTGTGATTACACTATGTGTGGCTGAACGGCGTAAAACCGTTTCTAAAATTTC